CTATTTTAAACACTACTAACTCAAATGTTGAGATAAAAGAGTACTTCGTAAAATTAACGCCTCTTGAACCAAAGATCTCATCCAGCGAATCGTCTCAGATAGTCAATTCTATATCTTATTCCAAGTCCGATAGAGTACAAAAAGTACTTGATCTTATTCGATGTTCTCACTTAAACTCCGAAGAAAGGGAGTCTCTCTTAGAGTGCTGTTCACAATACACTGATATTTTTCATATAGAAGGCGAGCCTCTATCTTTCACAAATGCAATCGAGCACTCCATTGATACTGGGGATGCAGCCCCTATTCACTTAAATCTTACCGTTTTCCCGAATGTCATAAGGACGAAGTCGATTCACAAATCAGAAAAATGCTCGATCAAAATATCATACGTCCCTCTGTTTCGCCCTGGAGCGCCCCAGTATGGGTAGTTCCCAAGAAGATGGATGCTTCTGGCAAAATGAAGTGGCGAATTGTCATAGATTATCGTAGCCTTAACGACGTCACTGTTTCTGAAAGTTATCCACTGCCTCTTATATCAGATGTGCTTGACCAACTAGGCCACTGCAAGTATTTCAGCACTCTTGACCTTTTTAGCGGTTTTCATCAACTTGTTGTAAGCCCCAAGGACACGCCAAAAACTGGTTTCACTGTCAACACCAATTCTGATGTTTCTGGGCACTACGAGTTCACCAGAATGCCCTTTGGGTTGAAGAATGCCCCTGCCACCTTCCAAAGACTGATGAATACAGTTCTTTCAGGTCTTCAAGGCCTTCATGCCCTTGTGTATTTGGATGACGTAATAATTTACAGTCATAATCTGAATAGCCACATTTCAAAGCTTATGCTAGTATTCGATCACTTACGGAAATTCAACTTAAAGTTGCAGCCCGATAAGTGCGAATTTCTGCGACGCGAAGTCGCTTATCTCGGGCACATTATTACAGACAAAGGTGTCTGTCCTAATCCAGAGAAAATCAAGGCCGTCTCTCAATTCCCAACGCCTAGAAATCCGAAGGATATAAAATCCTTCTTAGGCTTAGTCGGATACTATCGTCGCTTTATTAACAACTTTTCCCAAATCACGAAACCACTGACATCTCTTCTAAAGAATAATGCAAGTTTCCAATGGTCTCACGATCAACAACGCGCTTTTACTATCCTTAAGGAAAAGTTAACCACAGCGCCTCTCCTTCAGTATCCTGATTTCACGCAGCCATTTATATTGACCACCGATGCCTCTAACTATGCAGTAGGCGCAGTACTATCGCAAGGCGAAATCGGTAAAGACAAGCCTGTCTCTTATGCGTCGCGTACTCATAACAAAGCCTCTTCACGATAGAAAAAGAGAGTTACTAGCTATCCTATTCGCTGTAAAAACCTGCCGTCCATACTTATACGGTCGCAAGTTTAAAATAATTACCGACCACAAACCTCTCGTATGGCTTTTTAGCATTAAGGATCCTGGCTCTAGGCTTATCAGATGGCGCTTGAAACTCGAAGAATATGATTACGAAATTCTTTATAAAAGGGAAAACTTAATTCAAATGCCGATGCATTATCGCGATTTCCGGTAAATACCTTAGATAATAATAATTGCTCTGATTCAATTATATGTAATCCTACTTTAAATCTTGACGACGAATCTGGCCAAACCGACTCTCATAATCTTCCTTCTATTAGCGAAACTTATGAACAGTTCCTCCAAATTATCAAACAACCCGGTATCTCCTTTGATTCCGTCATACAGGAGCATAACGAATCCCTGCTAAAAACAAAAATAAAACTTATTGCATATATAACGAATCCCTGCTAAAAACAAAAATAAAACTTATTGCATATCCTACTTCTGTCGATTTAGACGAATTTGTACCTTATTGCCATGAAATTATAGATGCATCTACAAGCGAACCAGACATTCGAAACATCGAACGCGAATTACATACCTACTATTCTACGTCTAATGATAAGCACGTATTTACTCACCTATTTCTAAAAGTCAATTACTTCGACAAAATCGCGTATAAGGATATATTTAATATTATCCGCGAATATCGCGATATGGTAAAGTACTGGTATATGGAAGAAAGGGAAATAACCATATCAGACTTTACCGATCCTTTCACTAAGTTATCCTATACTAAAATATATAATATAATATCTTTTCTATTGCATAACAGTAATATTAAGATAAATATCTACCGTAATAATATTAAATATCCAACGCCGGACGAGATCAAACAAATCCTTAAAGATAACCATGACTCTCCTCTCGCCGGTCATCCGGGTATCTCACGTATGCTCGAAAGAAAAAAGTCCCAATTCTGGTGGAAAACCATGCGGCAAGATATTGAAGATTATAAAGAATTGTCGCTCTTGTCAAATTAATAAGCCCTTACGGCAAACCAATCGAGCTCCAATGGTTATAACCTCCACAGCATCTCGGCCCAATGAAAAGTTATTTCTAGACCTAGTCGGTCCTCTCCCTGAAACTCATGAACATAAATATAAATTCATACTAACTCTACAAGACGACCTTACGAAGTTCTCCCAAGCATATCCTATGCAATCTTGCTCTGCCGAAGAAACGGCGCAATCACTGATGTTATATATATATCACATATGGGCATCCCGAAAATGATTATTTCCGATCAAGGCACTAATTTTTGCTCTGACGTTTTCAAACAGCTAGAGACTGTTTAGTATAAAACACATATTTGCATCTCCTTATCACCCACAAACATGTGGAGCATTAGAAAGGGGTCATTCTATTCTCAAGGAATATTTGAGATCTTATATCGGGGAAAATCAACATACATGGGATCTATACATCCCTAGCGCAATGATCGCTTATAATTCCAATGTTCATAGCTCCACAGGCTACTCGCCTTTAAAGTTACTATTCGGCTATAAACCATATTTACCTTTCAGTATCGACACGCTTGATTCTAACACCTATACTGATTACATTCGAGCACTCAATCACCGACTCTATTATAGTCGCCAAAAGGTTCTTGAAAATATTCAATCGTCAAAGGAAAAATCCAAGAATTACTACGATTCACACACTAAGCCTCTATCTTATAAAGCAGGTGACATGGTTTACATCCGTTGTCATCATAAACAAAACAAGGCCTTATCTCCAGTGTGGAAAGGTCCTTATAAAATAATTAAGTTAAACGGCAGTCATACCGTCACTCTCCTTATCAATCGTAAACATGTACGTCATCACTATGATGAAATTAAACTCGCAGCTGACTGCACTACGTAATCATTTCATTACGTCACGTCTGACGATTGTTAATATACTATTTCAGATCAACGCTGTCGCCGATCGCGTGCGAGTACGTTTCGCAGATAGTAAGCAGTCCAGGTCTTTATTTCGATAAGTTATTAGATGTTAAGTTTACGAATAGCGATTACAACGTTGTTTCATATGTAGATAAGTCACGTAGAACCTAATCTAGATAAGGTAGAATTTTTATTTGAAAAGATAACCGTATTCTGTAGTTCATTCGCATCTGCTAAGATTCGATCTGTTTGTACTAATTCTATATCCGCGTTGAAAAATTAACATCTTACGAATGTAAATAAGTTTTCTTCCATATCGTATTTATTAGTAGATGAGAGGCCTAATCGTGTCAAAAGAGGTCTCATTGACTTTGGTGGTTCTATGCTAAAAACTATTTTCAGCACATTAGATTCTGAAGATGCAATCGAATTCTCAAAAGCTATCGAAGATGTACAGACGGATGAAAAACATCTTGCTCATCTCATGAGAGATAATATTCACGTTATTAAATCTACCATTTCATCTTTTAATAATTCTATTTCTAAAGTTAATTCAAACGAAAAACAACTCTTGAGTAATATGGAGAGTATTCATAAAGTCCTAGAGACTGTGTCGAATTCAAACGACAAATTAGAGATAAAATCTCAGATAAACTCTCATTTAAATTCCCTAGAATCTATAATACTTACGCTATCCTTCGATATTGATGATATCAATAACGCAATTTTATTTGCGAAGTTAAACGTTTTGCACCCGACTGTACTTAGTCCGCATCAGTTGTACAATGAGTTAGATAAGCATAGAAATAATCTACCTAGCCACTACGAACTCCCTATATCTTTAACATTACAAAACATTCACTATATTATACATATATCTAAGCTTGTGTGTTTTTACCATTTAATAAAATAATCATTGTTATTAAGATACCTTTAGTTATACCTCAAGTTTATAACCTTTATAATATAATCCCTTTACCTGTCCTTTATGATATATCGAAACCAGACACGTACGCGCTCATATCGCCATCCAGTTCATACGTAGCAATAACAGCTGATCGTATGTTTTACTCACCTGTCGACGTGGAACGATGCAAGGTTATCCGTGATAAGTGTTATGTGTGCGTTTTAGTGAATGTGTACTCGGCTATCGCCAATCCCACGTGTGAAACTATTCTGTTGAGTGACGTAGTGAACAAACTTCCAGACATTTGCGAAACTCATCTCATCCGTGGCTCTATTGACGTTTTTCATGAGATAAGTTCGAATAGATGGTTTTTCGTTCAATCCGAACCTGGCAAATGCCACATTAGTTGTAATAGGAATATAGATAACATAGATATTATTTTGTTTGGTACTGGCATCTTATCGTTACCTAAAAACTGTAAGGCGTTTTATAAGACTCTACAGTTTACTGCTGTTAGCGAGATAACGTTAGGCAATTACACTAACGAAATTTCTAATTTTAACATCTTGTTGAATGATTGTTGTGAAAGGTCTAAGATAAATAAAACTTTAGATAAATTACCTTATTCTAAATTAAGTAATATTGATTCTTTGCTACACGCCAGTACTCATCTAAATTCATTCGAACAAGAGTTAAATAGATTAGAGAATCCGTCTCATTTTGAGACCTATGGTACACATTATTTGTCTATAAGCTATGTTGCTAGTTTTATAATATTCTTATACTTATTATATAAATATCGCAGAATCTTTTGTAAAAGTCCTTCATCTCATTGCATTCAAATATTCAACCAATGTCATAATAATAAGAAAACAAAGAAAAATCCTATATCTCAAGTGGTCATCTACAAAGATCGACCGATGACAGATGATTTGACTACATCTGATTCTTCAGAGGAAGCTGAGGTAAAAATAGTACCAGCTCCTCTAAAACGAAATCTTGTAATTAGTTCTAAATCTCATAATCCCTAATTCTAATGTATCTATTAAAGTAATGATTCTATTTCATGTGTATTTCAATGTCCTAATTTTAAATATTGTATGTCGTCTCTATCCTAATTCCAATAATTCAATGTCGTTATCTTATGACCTAACTCTAATTTGCTATGTCGTATATCTATGTCAATCTTCAATTTTGATCTAAATGTAAGTTAAATATTGTAGTTAATTATAATAAAACCAGATAAATCTTGTTGTTATTTAAGAAGAAAATCTAATAAATAATCGATACTTACCTAGTTGTTTTTACCAATATCTATCCATTGTATCAAATGAAATTGTAATTTTGCGTATCTTAAGTTGTTTTACTATGTCAATGTCTTTTATTGTATCAATCTCTGTATCTGTATATTTCTACCAAACGTCAGTCCAATTCAGCATCCAATATTAAATCTCTCATCACTTTGAGATGTGATGATCAATCTTAACGGGGGGGTTGTTATATCGAATTTAACATTACAACTATATAAAAATAAAAGTGCCGATGCATCCCTATTGCATTGACGTCAATGCAATAGGGATGAATCCACCTCAACCTCGGGTAATTAAACTTTACTTTCAAGCAGTACGGATTGGACTCGCGTCCGGGAAACACATATTCTAATTTCATAAATAAAGTAGTGTTACATATATAAGGCATATTCAAGGTAACACACAGCGAGATCTGCCCTCCTAGTCAAGTGGAAAACTATTCATAGCGAATTCGGTATGCGCTACATTAACGTCACTTTGTTATTCAAATTTCTTCTGTGATAGCCAAATGCCTAGTGCCCCAAAATATTATGTTATAGAAACTTAGTGAAAATGAATTGATATTAGACATTTCGTTACACCTTGATCATGTGATATGGAGTTCAATAATGACAATGCCATACATTTCAGTTTAATTCACGTTGAACGTCAAAAAACGTAAGCCGTTGGCTAGGTCCCCTGGGGCTCTGCGACAATCTACTATATGTTTAATTGAAGGACCCTCGGTAGCACAGCGGAATCGTTAGTGCATCCACCTGGAAAGTGGAAGGAGCAGAATCCAGTCCGACACCTAGACCGAGTGACCTTTTTTACTAGCTGAATTTTCTTTATAAATATATATTATTCCGCTAATGCTTATAAAAAAAATATAAAATATTTTTCATTTATGAATTCTTTCATTAGTTATATTTGTTTTGCTCGACGTTTTCTGTGATTTGTTTGTTCCTCATCTTACTGGTTTCTGTTCCTTAGGAGATGTTCATCCTTGTGCTGGCGGTGGAGGTAAGCGGCGACCAATTGAGCGCCGTCAACGTGGCCGGCCTGGCGCTCTGTCTGCTAGGCATTGTGTCACACATAGTGCACAAGGTATACGCCCCACACTACACTAAACAACCCCATCTGAGCGCCGTCAACGTGGCCGGCCTGGCGCTCTGTCTGCTAGGCATCGTGTTACACATAGTGCAGAAGGTGTACACACAATACTACACTAAACAACGCCAGCTGAGCACCGTCAACGTGGACGGCCTGGCGCTCTGTCTGCTAGGCATTGTGTCACACATAGTGCACAATGTATACGCCCCACACTACACTAAACAACGCCAACTGAGCGCCGTCAACGTGGCCGGCCTGGCGCTCTGTCTGCTAGGCATTGTGTCACACATAGTGCACAAGGTATACGCCCCACACTACACCACAGCACACTACACTAAACAACACCAGCTGAGCACCGTCAACGTGGCCGGCCTGGCGCTCTGTCTGCTAGGCATTGTGTCACACATAGTGCACAATGTATACGCCCCACACTACACTAAACAACGCCAACTGAGCGCCGTCAAGTGGCCGGCCTGGCGCTCTGTCTGCTAGGCATCGTGTCACACATAGTGCACAAGGTATATGCCCCACACTACACCACAGCACACTACACTAAACAACGCCAGCTGAGCACCGTCAACGTGGCCGGCCTGGCGCTCTGTCTGCTAGGCATTGTGTCACACATAGTGCACAAGGTATACGCCCCACACTACACCACACCACACTACACTAAACAACGCCAGCTGAGCACTGTCAACGTGGCCGGCCTGGCGCTCTGTCTGCTAGGCATCGTGTCACACATAGTGCACAAGGTATAAGCCCCACACTACACCACACGTCACTATATCAATGATTCTATATCGTAATTCTGAATGCGTTGTATAGCAAAATAGCAGATACGGAGCGCGAGGGAGAGAGACCGCTATATAGCAAACCATGCATTTGAATAACAAATATTTTCTATTAAATCCGTTTATAATAAGTATTCGAACCAAATTTGCTTCAAGTGCGATAAATTAATAAACATTGATTTGATGCCTGTCGAAAAAATTACACTCACGTACATTAAGTATTTTTTTCGCATTTTCCCCGGAGCTCTGCGGCATGTTGACATTCCAAGTGGCGTTCAAGCTGTTCTTGATTGGGACACATTTTGAGTGCAATTGGTGTATCTGGAGGTATTAAATGAGGCGGTCAGGGCAAAAGTAGCCTAACCCTCGATTATTCATATTCTGATTAAGCGGCTTATGCCACTTATGAAGTTTACGTTGAGAAAAAAATCAATGCAAAAATAACTTTTGGCACGCCATCTATTGACGCTTGAATTGAATGACGATTTTGAATTATATTTTAACACATTTTTATTTAATTGCAGAAGATTAATCGGAATATGAATAATTGAGGGTTAGGCCATTTTGCGCTGACAGCCTCAAATAAGATTGCCTGTCTATTATAATATAAGATCCATACGGAATCTCGATACCTAACCTTGTATAAAATTAATAAAACAAAAACAGTATTAATAAAAAACAATATATTTGTCTAGGTACTGGTAATCCGCGCAGTGGCGGGGTCGATGCGTGCGCTAGACTCTTCAGAACTAGCGCCGGCTAGCAAGCGATCCGGTGCCCTTTCCACCGCCCACGAGGAAGGGGAACACTCCCGCCCACTGCTGGACACGCAGCCCAGTCGCGCGTGGACTCCCACGCCCACACAGAGCGACGACAGCGACCTAGACCACGCGCAAGTCATATACCAGGTGCTGCAACGTAGGGATAATAGGTAGACATTACCAACATATTATGTTACCACGACAGAAAGCCAAGAGTTTAACCAGGAACAATAGGTAGACATCATTTACTCGTCAGTCTACACCGTTTACCAACATCATGGTATCGATTCTGGCATGATTTCTAAACCTGAAATCAAATTTGGCATCGGTGTATCCTTGGCATTCTCTATCTTTGAAGAATGAAATGAAGAGACTGAAGTTAAATTTAGTTTTAAGTTTCGAGAATCATGCCAATCGACACTATTTTGTTACCACGACAGTAGGCGAAGAGTTTTAACAAGGACAATAGGTAGACAACCTTTCTCTACACCATTTATATAATATTAGTATAATGCGATTCAACTAAGTATAGGACCGACTGGGCGCCATATTGTGCCGTCATAGCCGTCAATTCAAATAGGTAGGTAACCAGTGAGCAAAAAAGTTTTTATTTAATAAATAAATCTTATTTACTAAGATTAAGTGAGAAAAACATCAGATTTTTTTTATTATAATTTATTTACTAAGATTGAGAAAAAAAAACAACCGATTTTTAATAATATTTATTTATTAAGACTGTGTGAGAAAAAACGTTAATCAGAATCTAGCTCTTCAATTCCGGTCATGTCTGCATTACCGCCGGAGTAGTTATGAATAGTCATGCACTATTCTATGAACATGCATCCTTTATGTAAACGAAAGTTTTAAATCGAGTTTCGGAACGCAACTTCAAGTGACATTTGGTTATCAACCATTCAAAGCCAAAGCTCAATAAATGTAAAAATAATATCAACCAATATTAATTATCAATATTTGTTATTGTTTGTTTACAAATGTTTGGTTATTATTCTAGAATTAGCTGAGTGCTAAAAGATGTTCCAAGATTCCAGAGGGTTTAATTCCAGATTCTAAGATTTTATTGCAAACCGTACTTTTCAAGCGACATTTGACAGATGGCGGTTTTTGGCTTTCCTATTCTTATTTGAATCGCACTATATGTAACCACGACGTACAGATCACCTCCACGAAACCCACGATACAAGGGCACCCTCTTGTACCAAACTTATGTAGCAATACTGCATAAGCCGAGATCACACGTAAGTAATTTACCAGGTGCTGTCAACCTGCCTCGTAGACATAATTACGCATCATATTATATGCTTGTGCATATAATATGACAACAACACCAGAACATCTACCACGATATTATGTGTAAACAAAACCACACCAAAAGGCCAAGAGTTGTACAATGGACAACAGGTAGACATAATTACTTAACAACATTCAAACTATGTAAATGCCAAAAACATAATTACTACCTCTGGTAATTATGTTTTTCGGCTTGTAACTTTATTTCGTAGATATTGTGTGATAATTTCTCAATCATACGTTTCTCCCTTTTGTTGTTCTAATAAACTGTCGCAGATTTTATCTGTATCTCCTGAAACTACTTTTTCCTTTTTTTTTCTACAAAATGTCCACTTGTTGCCCTAAGTTGAATGCTACTAATGTTTTAAACGGTCTTATTTAAATAATGAAGCTATTTGTTACCTCGCCTCGACTTTGCGCGGTCTGTTTGTAAGGACTGTCTGTCTATCTGTGACTGTGATTATCGCAGTCTTTTGTTTAAACCACATCTTTTTTTATGTAGTATATGAATAGTTAGTAAAATAGTCAGGCACTGTGTTGCACAGCCAACAAAGGGGAGTCTTATTATTTTCGCCTTTCGCGCGGTTGGCAGAAATTTAACGATTTCATTACCTATACCGTCTCCGCTCTTATCCGCACAAATTGCGATCAAATTTACTGTGAAATTATTGATATTGTTAAGTCGGGGTTTACAGTTACCTTGGTTTGCCTTGTAAACCTTTCTGTGTCCATCCATAAACCACTCGGAATCCATAAACTCTTCAATAACGGAGATCAATCGAATCTTTCTTTTCCGTCTTCTTTCTAAATCACTTATTAGTTTTGCGGTCACGCAATTTTTCAGCAACCTTTTTAGTAAATGTCGTGGTCTCAGTTCCATATAAGATCGTCTTATGAACGATGACCGCTAATGAACTTACAGACTAACAAAAAGACATGTTTTCGAACCAAACTGGATTAAGTGATTTTCTGTCATTCGTTTGTAAACTATTGTCAAGCCGAACTGTACAGAATCTTGTAAAGGAAACTAAGCCTAGTGGAGGAGTGCCATAGAGTACACTTTCCTACCGCAATCGTATCGATTGTATAACATGCATATTTTATACTGTAATCCACACGTATAATATTAATTATATATGTAAGTATATAGAATACAAACAAAAATAATTTTTGGTCGATCTAAATTTACAATGATATGAGTCGATAAAGTATGTAATTATTTTCGGAAGATGAAAAATGTCTAGGTATAATATTTATAAATCAATATTGTTTTTTTCGTTATAAACGAATACTACGATTGTCAGTTTTATTATTACTATGTTAAATGAAATCGTAACTACTTAACATAAGTTACTACTTTTATATGCGCATTTAAAATATGTAAAATAATATTATACATTTTTGTCATTTACATATGAAAGATATATGTATGTCCACTATAAATAATTGTTACGCCCGGGAATAGAACCTACGCACTACATGTTGCTCCTGAGTAACACTAAAAAGGAGTGCTGGCTAATGAGTTCCCGCTAGTACCCTGCAATGTACTGCCAGTCAATTTGATTTTCGACCCACCATAAGCTTTATTTTCTTAATTCCCAGTAAACTGAATTGTCTATATTTTGTTTCCTCCGTCCTGTCCTCTGTGTGTGTCATTGGACACTGGGATTTCATCATACGACACATACAACAAGATATATAGTTCTCATTAACATATAAACATAGCAGTGATCCAAGGTTAGGGAGATTAATTTTTATTATTTTTATCGCCCGCTAACAATAATTGTAGCATGGTTTCCAAACTTAGAAACGGTCTGGTTGTAATCATTAACATACTGTTAAACATTCCTTGCTATCATGTAAAATATTAAAGAAAAATATATTTAATTCCCCTTTATTATATAATTGGCTCAAAATCACCAAGGTGGTAAATCCACTTCGGCAGCAAATAAATGCCTAAATTCTGTATTTTTTTTAACATTTTAGCATTGGTAAACACTTAACTGTGTTTACTTCAACCACACATCACACAAAATAATTAAAAAGTCTTATATATTACATTTTATATGGACAAATAAGTACAAAAAATCATTTGGAGAACGCGTCCTAAGTAGCAATTCTTAAAAGCTAACACCAGAAATAGTCATAAAATAAAACCTTTTTAACGGTTATTAATACCCATTCACCTTCAATTGTATCTAAAATTACATTATTGCAAGCATTAATAAAGAAGAAAAACGAATTTAAAAAATCTAAGTCAAAATATAATGTCCGACAATGTAAGCATCATGTTAGTGAACCCAGCTTTGATTACGCGAAACAAAATTCGAACGCATCCCTCTTTAGTCTATGGAACAGCTGTAGAGAGAGTTGTAAACAAAGTGGCTGTGAAGAAAGTAGTTTGCCAAAAGAAATTAAAATAAGTGGTAAGTGTCTTTTAATTCATTATTTACAGAGCGTACATCAATAGATCGTCAATTGAGGAACGCGTTTTTCAATCAAAATAATGCAATAATAGCTTTTATAGTGTTGTATAACAAATGTTAAAATCATATATTTTACATTAAGGAAGCAAGAATTGCTGTCAAATATGGCTGCCGTTTAAAAAAGGCGCGGTTATTTGAAAATATCATTTGGTGAACGGTCATTTGGGGAACGTTCTCCGATTTGATGTCCCGTTCTCTAAATGATGTTGTTGTTCCCCAAATGACTATTTAGTTACTAAGTGGTACTTTCTATTACTAACTGTCAATTTTGTGTATGTCGTGCTTACAAAGTTATCAATAGGTATACTTACTTTATTTTTACAGCAATATGGAGTCTCACAAAGCTGAAAAAAACCGTTCGAAAAAGCAAATAAAGAAAAACAGTACAGCTTACTTGTGCCAAAGAGAAAAAGCTACTGGCAAAAAAAGAAATTTTTTAGATAACATGACAGAGGAAGAGAAGGATATTAAAAGGGCTAAGGACAGAAAATACTATCATAAAAAAAAAACAAGAAAAGAAAGTGAAGAACATAGCTGAGATGACTGAACGAGAAAAGCGAAAGCAAATAAATATGTGGAAAGAAGTTACAAAAAAATACAGAGAAAAGTAGAAGTTATTATCTGGCATATTACACAATACACCGCCACATTGTGTGTGTGTGCGTGTGCGTGTGGAAATTTCGATGATGATCTAGCTGCATCAAGTTCAGTGAGAAAAACAGTAGGAAGACAAATTATGCGGAAGGATAGAGCCAAAGCATATCGTAAAATAAAACAACAAGAGAAAACCATTGCTAAAATTAAACGCAAATATGACACTTTAAAGAAAAGATTAAGAAGATAAGTAAAAAGAAAAGAAGTGAAATCACAGAACCCTACAACTCCCTATAGCAAAGTTAACGCATTGTGAGAAAACGTTGACGTACCTCCTGAAGTTCGCAAGAATCTTTTATTTAACGAAGTATTGACTGCCCAATTACAAGATAAAGCCAATACTTTGAGAAAAAAATCCAAAGAGAGGGTAGTAACTCCCGAATCGATGATTGCAATGCACTGCCACCATCATTACCTCACTGTGGCACAACGATGCCTGATATTAAAATCAGGCAGCGTGAGGTTCGTGCCGAATTGCAATCACTCGACGTCCGGAAAGCTAGTGGACCTGATGGCATCCCAGCAGTAGTACTTAAAAAATGTGCAGCGGAGTTGTCCCCGTGCTCACGCGCTTGTACCAGTGCTCGTATTCTTTGGGGCGTGTGCCGGAGACTTGGAGAGATGCTAACGTGCAACCGGTGCCCAAAAAAGGGGATCGCTCAGACCCGGCAAACTATCGGCCAATAGCAGTCACCTCAGTTTTATGTAAAGTTCTAGAAAAGGTCCTTAATAACCATCTGACCCGCTACCTAGAGGATCACTCCCTGATTAATGATCGTCAATATGGATTTAGACCGAAACGATCGACGGGTGATCTTCTAGCGTACTTAACTCATATCTGGGGTGAGGCTATCGACAAGCGTGGCGAGTCGTTGGCTATCAGCCTTGACATTGCCAAGGCGTTCGACAAGGTCTGGCACAAAAGCCTTCTCTCCAAGCTTCCGGCATACGGTCTGCCAGCCCAGTTCTGTTCTTGGGTAGCTGACTTCCTGAATGAGCGTAGAATTCGTGTCCTTACGGATGGTAGCAGTTCGCGGTTCATGTCAGTGAATGCCGGCGTTCCCCAGGGCTCCGTCCTATCCCCCACTCTCTTTCTGCTGCATATCAATGACTTGATTCCTCTTGGGAATATTCATTGCTATGCAGACGATAGTACAGTGCATGCGGGGTATCTCGGACAAGCAGCGGCTGGGCAGGCAGTAACCAGGGAGAAACGGGAAAATCTTGTCATTGAACTCAATCAGGCTTTGGACCACATTTCCGAATGGGGTACCAGGAACTTGGTTGGGTTCAATGCCAAGAAAACTCAGGCTTGCGCTTTCACGGCAAAAACATCGCCATTCCTTCCCCTTCCATCTCTTCAGGGCACAACACTACCGCTGCAGAGCAACATTTCCATGCTCGGTATGGAAGTTCGCTCAGACCTGAATCCAAAGGACTACATCGAAACCGTGATCAAAACAGCTTCACGCAAACTCGGAGTCCTGAACAAGGTGCGGCGTTTATTCACGCCCGATCAACTGTGCTTGTTGTACAAAACGCAAGTGCGGTCCTGCGTGGAATATTGCTCGCACCTCTGGGATGGCTCCGCCAAGTACTTGCTCGATGCTTTGGATAGGTTACAGCGGCGCGCAATCCGCATCATAGGCGATGAGGAGGTGACTAAACACCTTGAGCCTCTTCAATTACGCCGTGACGTGGCGTCACTAAGCGCGTTCTATCGTTTGTACCACGGCGAGTGTTCTGAGGAGTTATTCTCTCTTATCCCACCTTCCCCTTTCCTTCAGAGGACCACGCGCGCTGGCCTACGTTGTCACCGTCTTACTGTGGCCACAATTCCAACGCGTACAAAGAAATTTGGTGACTCATTTCTTTGTCGCACTATCCGTAAATGGAATGCTCTGCCCGCTCACGTGTTCCCTCCCTCTTACAACCTGGGATCCTTTAAAAGAGGCGTGAAGAAGCAACATGCAGGCCGGCAGGGTGAGGATGGCTGGTGTGGCAGGTAGAACTGCTGTATCAGCTATCTTCGCGTCTGGACTTCACCTTCACTTAACATCAGGTGGGGTGGAGTCATTTGTCGGACCTAACTATAAAAAAAAAAAAAAAAAGTTTTTCAAAAATGTGTTAGCGGGATTATGGTAAGGCAATACAAATTGCTTCATAAGGTTAATAGTTTTTTGCCAAAAGAGAAAACCAGTACTATTCTCAAATCTGACGCCAAAATTCATGAGGTTGTTTTGAATAAAGAAGTTCGCGAAAAAGTCAAAGAGTTCTTCCAAAGAGATGATGTCAGTAGGGTGTGTCCAGCCAAGAGAGATTTCGTAAAGAAAAACGGGATTAAGAAACAGAAACGCCTCCTTTCATGTTCAGTTAAAGCACTAACGTTAAGAGTTTTACGTGGCTGTGTCATTAATTATGAGACTAAAAAAAATGAATTAATTGAGTTAAGATTAAGTTATTGTTAAGAATAAATCTTATAGCAAATAAATAAATAACAATTACTTCCTATAATTTGGCTTATTATTCAATTTAACTGTGAATTAAACCCTAATTGTCTGTATATCGTTATTTGATGAACGCCCTCATCATTTCGGGGCACACCTCTAAAATCAAAGAAATGCCATTAACATAAGTTATTTAGTAATAATAGACCAGGGTCGATAATTTTAAAAATGGTGAAAAGTGAAAAAAAATTATAGTAGGATGAAACCCATTAGAAAAGGTAGAGAATATAACAAAAAATGAAAGGAAAAATAAATTACGGGCGATCTGAGGTCGGGAAGGGGGAGGGGGTGAGTTTTTAAGGGTAAAAAATGGTTAATCTCGATTTCCGGTAAAACTGAAAGTCCTATGAAAAAAAGTTAAATGGCAAAGTTGTAGGTAATAAAAAGATCTACAACTTTTGTATCGACACTTTTTACACATAACCTCAAAATTTATGTGTAAAATGCGAATAACCGAGTTTTTGGTTTTTGATTTGTATTTTTTGCAAAAAAAAATATTTTTTCACGAAATTTGGTGAAAACTTACCTTTGTATGTCCCAAACATACAGTAATTTTTTTGATTTAAAATATTCATTTTTTCACCTTTTTTTGACTTAATATCGAAAAAGCACCCGTATTTTCAATCGAAAATTCTCACGTCAAAATATCTGCTTTTTTAAAAAAGTTGGGGTGTTTTTTGTTACTGAAATCTCTACTTTCTGATGGTATAAAAAAAATATACACTACTATGGTAAATGTTCTCAGAAACTGCAAATTAATGTGTTTTTGTTATATTCTCTACCTTTTCTAATGGGTTGCATCCTACTATAATTTTTTTTGGTCTCAAAAATTATCGACCCTGGTCTATAAAGCCTGATAATATTGGAAACAGGCGGAATCCCTATAGCTACCGCAGATTTATTTATATGAAAGTGAGCGATATTCACTTATTTTGTAAATTTAAGAACATGTATGATTTATTCGCTGTAAATTAAGCTATATGACTATTTAGTCATATAGTTTAATTTACAGCGACATTGTCCTTAAAAACGTTTTAATTCCAAATTTTGTCATAGTTTTTTAATTTCCTACTATTGGCGACGTATCTCCGCTATCGTTAAGGGTAAAAATGAAATATATATATATTTTTTATTTAATTATAAACCTCCGATTACCGTTCCCCGAAATATTAATTTTAGTGATAGCACACTTAAAAATTGAAATTTCAAGAAAAGTATTTAATTCTATGCTCCGCCGAGGTGAATATAGTTTAAACATAAGTTAAGTTATGATTTAGAGTAATTATCAATATATTTAGCTTCTACTCTATACCATCATAAAACAGAATTCAGAATTTTCCACCTTGGTGATTTTGAGCCATTTATGTGATTTCTTAAGTGTAAGACTTGAATATTGGTAAAGTTATCACATGAAGTCCTATTTGATTAGAATAAGTACTATAAGTTATTGTATCTTAAAAAGAAATACAGATACGTATATGTCCATCAAATTAAATTCAATATATTTTTATTGTTTTATATAAGTTTCTATTATTATACTTTAATATTTCTTACATTCCTGTTTCGAAATTGTTGTTATATTTTATGCTCTGTTCGCTTAAAGAGGACACCAATGCCGATTCAACATATGGTGCGATGCGCTCCATTATATGAGAATTATATTGATTTTAAAATAGTGTTTATTTAAAATGATTGTTTTTGTTGTTGTTAATTTGGTTCACACTTTACCCCTTATTAATAAATGAGGTATAAGCTTAGACTAGTTATGCCGTGTTTTGTTTAATCACTAAAATGCCATTTGTAATTCAATGAGCAGAGACAAAACATGAAGTAACTAATCAAAGCTTATTCTTCGATTATTAATAAAGGAGGTAAAGGTTTATGTAAATATCTCTGTCCTGGATTAGGTTAAGTTAGTGTAACGATTGAGGAAAGCACAAATCGTAAGTAACATTTGGACCAACGCATATTTTGCATTTAATCTACTAAGAGGTAGGATATTGACGGATCTCAGGCTGTAGGGAAGGGGGACTTGCCAGGCCTAACTCGCACTAGCGTAGCGGTTATTCAACGAGCGATAAAAAGGCATTCACAGAGTTTTAAAACGCGAAGGTTTTTCAGCGATTTCAACATGCTGACCGACGTGTTTTGACTGCTAGTATGAACAGTCATTGAATCTGCTTTGTTAATACATACCTATATTGTTTACGAATAAAGCAAAGCGATTTGTGTACATGTATTTTTTTAAGAATTCCGATGTGCGTGTGGACTGAGTGATCTTTTCAAAGAACTCATCCAATCACAACCAAATTATAAGAGGATTTTTGAAATAATTGTGAAAACTTAATGGTAAGGTATAAAATTTGTGAAACCTAAACAAAAAAAGTTAGGACTAATTAAATGGATCACTCAATCTGGACACTTGAAGAATAAGCCATAACGCGTATCCAAGAAAATACTACCTATGTGTTTATAATTTGTATTTGAAATAATTGTGAAGAATTTGTGAAAGCTGCTAAACAAATTTTCGATTCATTTCAAAGCCACGTTTAAGATTTAGAACGGTTTATATGGATCACTCAGAATGCACTATGTTCATTTGAGTGATCTTTTAAAACACTAACTTATACTGAAAAAGTATGAAACATTATCATGTTTGTTATAAATTATACTTCTGGGAAAATTTGTGAAACAAAGATCGGGATTGAAATCTTACGGCTCACACCAGCTATCTTCACCCTGCCGGCCTGCGAGTTGCTTCTTCACGCCTCTTTTAAAGGATCCCAGGTTGTAAGAGGGAGGGAACACGTGAGCGGGCAGAGCATCCCATTTACGGATAGTGCGACAAAGAAATGAGTCACCAAATTTCTTTGTACGCGTTGGAATTGTGGCCACAGTTAGGCGGTGGCAACGTAGGCCAGCGCGCGTGGTCCTCTGAAGGAAAGGGGAAGGTGGAATGAGACAGAATAACTCCTTAGAACACTTGTCTGTACCGCACAGCCGATAGAACGCGCTTAGTGACGCCACGTCACGGCGTAATTGAAGAGGCTCAAGGTGTTTAGTCACCTCCTCATCGCCTATGATGCGGATCGCGCGCCGCTGTAACCGATCCAAAGCATCGAGGAAGTACTTTGATATTAGGCATCGTTGTGCCACAATGGGATAATGACGGTGGCAGTGCAATGAATGAAGTCCCGATAATATTGGCCACTACAGAGGACATGGTGTCCATAACGAAAAAATAGTCTGTTATGATAATTTGATGGGAAAAATGTATAACAGCAAAGAAGAAGAACCAGTTATTTTACATACTTTGTCCTACGGATTTATCGATTAGGTAACATTTTAGTAGACTATGAATGTTAGAAAAAAACTTAGAATAATAAAAAGTTAATTTCTTTGGTTACTTAAAAAATTCTGATCTTTTTTTTTGTGTGTAGATTTCCTTAGTATGATAAACCTAATACAGTGTGACAATACCTAACTTTGCTGAAAATTTGTCACTTAAAAACGTCATTTTATGTTGAAATTATGTATTAAGTAGTGAAAACACTATAAAAACATCTTTAAAACTTCTAAAAACAAAACTTACACAACTCTCGGTACTCAAGTAAACCGATATGGTCACCCTACTCAACGTTTTCCTTAAGGATTGTAAAAAATGAGTTATCTTTTAAAATATAACGCTTACTGGGACGATTGGATCGTCAAATTTTAGTACAACTTTTTTCACAATTTCTGATGTAACTACCTTCTACCTATAAGTTTGGGTTTATTAAATATAGTTCAAGATAAGGATCACTCAGTTGGGACGATCGAGAAAAAACAAGATTTTCATTTTCTCTTAAACCAGTAAGATTTCAATCCCGATCTTTGTTTCACAAATTTTCCCAGAAGCATAATTTATAACAAACATGATAATGTTTCATACTTTTTCAGTATAAGGTAGTGTTTTAAAAGATCACTCAAATGAACATAGTGCATTCTGAGTGATCCATATAAACCGTTCTAAATCTTAAACGTGGCTTTGAAATGAATCGAAAATTTGTTTAGCAGCTTTCACAAGTTCTTCACAATTATTTCCAATACAAATTATAAACACATAGGTAGTATTTTCTTGGATACGCGTTATGGCTTATTCTTCAGGTGTCCAGATTGAGTGATCCAGTTAATTAGTTCTAACTTTCTTTCGTTAGGTTTCACAATTTTTTTACCTTACCATTAAGTTTTCACAATTATTTCTTAAATCCTCTTATAATTTGGTTGTGGTTGGATGAGTTTTTTGAAAAGATCACTCAGTCCACACGCACATGAATTCCGAACCTTAGGGTAACAACGGAACCCTAGTCCGTCCATCAGAGGGTTTCTTATAAACCGTAACAGGTAGTAAATAGACATTTTCAAAGAAGATGTATTTTTATCACTGCTATAACAACAACATAAGTAAAATGTTGCCATGGCGATTTCTAATGTTTGCAACCCCACCACCACTTTGGTAATTTTGTTAGCATAACGTTATCTCACCTCTGTTTACGGAAAATAGACAATGGAGTTCTTTCTTAATCACCAAAGTCGTTTACAAAAGACAAGGACTCAACTGTGTCACACGAGTGACAGGGAGCGTGATTCGCGGCTGCATTTGATGTCATTAGCACTCGCGCAACCGAATAGGGCCCGCGCGATGGGTCATGGCTCGTTCCCCCTGTTCCATCCATAGGGGTGGCAGTGGGGACATTCAAAGGCTGATGACGATGATGATGAAATAGGGACTCGCTATGTAGATGGACGTGCTCACTTTTGCTCAGAATCACGACACTCAATGCTTGTATGGTTCCACAGTTTCATTACACAAAATGTACACAACACAATACGACTACATACTTCGATTGACATATAAATTGAACGATACCAGCATTCTTAAAACGTAAGTCTTATTTAAGTTAAGAAAGTATATTAAATAATTGTTGTTGTTTATAATCTGCTTACATCACAACCTTGCCAAGGTCGTATTTATTACAAAGCTATATGAATAGTAAAATAAATAAAATATAAAAAATGAATCAAATCATTAGAGCTACTAAATGTTAAATCATAAATAAAAAAAGCATGAGCGTGAATTGAATTATAAGAGTACAATAATATTGTATTGTGTGTGTTAATAAACTAGTCCTTATGTTGTTATAACTGGTCATTTAATTTATGTACATTTAAGTAGTTCGTACAGTCAGTTACAGGTCAAGTTATCTAATCTTGCTTGATTTACGATTTATAATCGATCAACCATATTTGAAATCCTGTGGTGACACACTCGATGAGTTGCTGATCGTACAATCATCTGCACATAATGCAAACATATCAGTTAACGGGTTAATTTAGATTTTTTAATGCATGCATTGCAGATATTTTACACTTTTCAAAGACTAAAATGGTTTGTTATTATGGTATTGTCGCTGATTTGTATTTAATATGTAAAATTTGATATAGAACTACGATTGCATTTATGAAGTAACTGATGACACGGTAATATTATCTATACAGTATTGTGACTCCGCCCTGTCCTTGAAATAAATGCCTACGGCCGAGCGCTGCGTTAGCACGCGGTAGGGCCCGCCTACAGTATTTTATGTAGTTTTGTTTTTAACGCGAGTGTAGGTAGATTACTCGTTTGTCTCTTTTTTCATCCTAACCACTTATTTATATATTATTCCAGATATTTTGCCCGATGGAAAAATCGAAATACCTAAATATTAGAAACAAATTACGTACTAGTAGATAGGTATATAAAAAATATTCTATAAAGGTATGACACCTTTCCAATATTTCAGGTAATTTAAAAAATGGTATCTCTGGGTGTGTTATTGAAGAGTTCAAGCAACCAAAAGCAGCAATTGTGCTGTTGTACGATATTGATCGTCGTTTGTTCTTTTCAATACTAAATTATGTAGGTATCTACTTAATTCAATCAAATATTTACAATACAAAACGCACGTTTAAGCACGGCTAACTGCATAAAAAACAATTCACACCGTTCGGTCGTCGTTGCGGCGCGGCGCGGCGGCGGCGCATTCGCGACTGGGTGCCCGCCGAGAGTGCCTCGAACTCGAGTGGCGAAGGTATGACTCGCTTTCCGACCGTTTGTATGAAGATAGAATACTGTATGATATTATTACCGTGCTGAAGATGTCTCTTGACTTGCCGTTACCTAGCATTGTAATTATTATCTTTTATTTGGATATTACAATTTTTGGTTGGTTGGTTGGTTGATATTTTTTTTATGTAAAGTTTTACAACGAAACATTTTCCAATGTGTTAATGGCTATACTGGCTGTCTGAGCAAATTTTTATATGCTAGCGATCTGTGTTTCGGTTCCCTATTTGATTCTCTATATTTTATACTTAAGAAATTGATCAAAATAAGAACTGTAAAAAATGATGAGAAGTCTTATAACTTGGACTATAGGTACGTCGTTTCGTCTTAGCACGGCTATACTCGTATTCACCGTGGATATACATTTCCTGAGGATATACATTAACTTTGAATAATACTTCTATAGCTCTTGTTAAACATATCGTACAAGGAAAGTAGTAGTTTAAATACCATACTTTTTAAGTTATTAGTAATTTAAGTTTCACCAACTTAATTGTGTTGGGCAGTGAGAAAGAGTCTTTATCTGTGAGATGTTGCCACTTTGTGCAACCAAAACTGTCAAACAATCAACTCTTTGTCAACGGTCATTAAGTCATAATTTCAAAAGTCAAAATTTTAAGAAACATTGTGACGACAAGAAAAGTTTCAAAAACTTTATGTGGACATGTGAACCAAAGTTTCAAATGCGACGTTGCCAGCTCAGGTAAAGAGTAATTCATGTTAGATAAATTACATCTAAGCATTTAGTTTGTATGAAAATAAAAAATGTTAAGAAAATTGGAATTCATAAAAGTGTCCATAGTAAAAAATTATCAATTTAATAGTCCGAATAACATGCCAAAGTTAGTGTATAACCTCAGGAACATAGTGTATATAAACATTTACTTACTGCTAAGTAGGTAATTAGGTACTTTATTGCTAAGTAACTAAGTCATTAATTGACACTAGAGTTCTACTATAAAATGGTTACTTAGCTGCTGAGTAACTACACTGGCGGTCAAATAAACCGGGCCATTACCAATGCATAAGTTCAAATATGATTTCCCTCAAATGTATGGATAAAATTGTAGATAATGTGGTACTGTTAGATATGTTATGTTATAGGTTTTATTTGAAAAGTAAAATAAAAAGTGCGAGACAATAATTTACCCTACTTTGTGGGTAGACTTAAAAAAACACAGTTTTATCAATTTTGTACTAAATCACATTGCTTAAGGTTTGAGTGTAAAAAAGCGGGAAATTAGCGTTTTTTAAAGATTTTACTTTGTTTATGGTTTAGTAGTCCTTATTCTAAGAGTTGCGGTTGATCTTGTTCATTATAATGGATACTACGCCTCAGGAAGCTGCCCAAGCCGTCGCATTACTTCAATCGGGCCTTAGTCAACGTCGAGTTGCTCAAATGTTAGGAATAAGTCGCTCTTCGGTACAGCGTGTCTTCAGAAGATATCAGGAGACCGGAGCCTTTGTCCGACGCCCTGGAACTGGCCGACCGAGAGCCACAACCTCTACTGATGATCGATACATTAATTTGAATATCTTAAGAAATCGACATCTCAATGCAGTGCAGGTACAGCAACGGCTTCGTGATGAACGTGGAACTGCCATAAGCGCGCGTACAGTCAGAAGAAGATTGGCCGAACGAAATGTAAAGCCACGAAGGGCTGCAACCGGTCCAAAATTAACAGTGACTCATCGCAGACTACGTCGTCAATTTGCCCATGAACATAGGGAATGGACACTTGATCAATGGGGGCATGTCCTTTTTCTGAAGAAACCAGGGTATCCTTATACGGAAGTGATAGAAGACGGAGAGTCTACCGGTGCCCTGGAGAACGTTATACTCAGTGCTGCATCGAAGAAACGGTTGCATATGGCGGTGGCTCCGTTATGGTGTGGGGAGGCATTTCCCTAACAGCACGAACAGAGCTGGTTTTCATCAAATCCAACGCTCAATCACGTGGTTTGACAGCAGATCGGTATATTGGTGACATTCTTGAAAACGTTGTCGTGCCTTACTCAAATTATATCGGGGACGACATACTTCTAATGCATGATAATGCAAGACCTCATACTGCAAGAATCGTTACTCAATATCTTAGGGACGTTGGTATTCGCATAATGGCTTGGCCAGCACGAAGCCCTGACTTAAATCCTATTGAACATCTTTGAAATAAGTTAAAACGTAGGGTTCGAGCCAGAACTCCGGCGCCTTCATCACTATCTGAGCTCAGAGTAATGATAACTGAAGAATGGGACGGCATCCCACAAGATTTTATTGTTAAGTTGATAAGATCAATGGGTTCAAGGATGCAAGCAGTTGTCCAAGCTAAAGGAGATAATACACATTACTGAAGCATCGAGTTTTGTTCGGTATTTTGAAGTTTATTATTGCTATTTGGCTTAAACAAAAGTAAAAAATTACGTTACAATTTGCCGTTTTTGTTCACTTTTTATTCTACGGTCAATAACTCAGCAGATATTTTTTTCTCCTTTACAATTATCTCTCAAAATAAATCTATCTAACAGTACCACTTTATAAAAAATTGCGTTCATACATTCGAAAAAAATTGCATTTGAACTCGAGGATTGCTAGTGGCTCGGTTTATTTGACCACCAGTGTATTTGTTTTATTGAAGAATTCTAGTATCATAATAATGACTTGGTTACTTAGCAATAAAGTTATAACTTAGCAATAAGTAAAATAAACTACAAGTTGCACTCCGGGAGTGCCGGCAGAAGTGAAAATTTGAATATTAACGTTGTGCATTTTTGATATTTTGGAATGGTTAGGGAATAATTTTGCACGAATTGCTTTAATTATTATCAGAATAAAAGTACTATCATTTATGTGGTAGAATACAATATTTATTTATTGCGTACACAAACATGACAATTTATATTACATCAAAAAGTTTATCTCTCAGAAAAATCAACTTACACGAATCACATTTAAGCGCACCTAGCGACATCTATAGTAAAAAAAAAACCATTTTCTTCGTAATAAAGCTGCCACCTGGACGTCCTAGTTAGAGACTTATTATTATAATACGATAAAATAAAATATTACTATGTTTCGTCCAATATATTAAAAGTCAACAACCTTTCCAATTTTACTGTTTTCGTCTTACGCCACGTGACCTGACGTGAGTTTAACAATTTTTTCCCTTACAAAAAAAAGTGTACAACGGCGCTAAAGAACTTTTCACTTCAAAAAAAATGGTGAAAAACAAATTGCCAATGACGACGTAAGACATTCTGTCCCACTCGCACATGCTGTCCTTCGTAACGTGCGAGAGGGACAGAATGTGTTGCGTCGGCACTTTCGATTGTTTTTTTTAATGGCACGAGTTACAAGAATTCTCTTTTATGACTGTTATTACTTTCATCAATTTCTCATGTACCTATGACATTAAAATGTTGCTCAAGTCATTACCTAAGCGGCGTAATATCTTTTACTTGCTTCTAAATGCGATGGAACATTGTGCTAGTAAATAGAAATTCCTACTAACTACCACTATGAATATGTAGCTATCGGTTCAATTACCGATACTTCTATATCTTTTGAATGTTAAAGTATTTTATTTAAAAATAAAAGAGAGAGGAAACGCTTGGCGTGTGTTCTGTCTTGTAGCTCAAGCACTAAGATCTCGCCCAAAATGTATCAGCGTACAAAGATCAGAACCTATCTATAAATATAATAAAATAATATGTGAACATTAATATTATGTTAGAACGCGCAGTCCTGCAGGCATGCCTTAATATTATATATTAACTATTCTAGTGTAAAACGGTCCTAGTAATTGTAAGAGCTACACGAATGTGAGGAGGACGTCAGAAATTTTATAGTATTTATTAATAAAGATAATTGTAAATGTGAATTTGCAGTTTTATTTTGGTATTCCAAAGAGCGGAACTGGGTTCGCTTCGTTTCTAGTATTTGTGAGATTATATTTGTGGCGGGTTTGACGTTTGGAGACCACTTCGTTTAGTACTGCCTCTGCATACGATAATTTCTGGTTTGGACCACTTCTGCTTAGACTACCTCATAATATGACTGTTTCTGGAATCGACCATTTCGTTTTTCGTCTACGTGGAGAACAGAGTAAAAATATATATATAAAAAATGTATAAAATGTTTTTTTTTATATCAATCTAAGTATTTGTATGGGTTACTTCTTTTCGAGTTATGCTACATACACCAAAAAAGATGCGTATTTATGCACACCGTAATATTCGTTAATTCCCAGTCTCGCGTTATTGCCACTGGGCGCAAATTATAGGTAGGTATAGTCAAATATAAATAAATAGCTGTGGAAAGGGCTATGCTCGGAGTATCCCTGAAGGACCGCATCAGAAATGATGTAATCCGACAGAGAACCAAAGTCACCGACATAGCCCACCGAATTAGCAAGCTGAAGTGCCAGTGGGCTGGTCACATTAGCCGCAGAACTGATGGCCGTTGGAGCCGGAAAGTTCTTGAGTGGAGACCACGACTCGGTAAACGTAGTGTAGGACGCCCCGAGACAAGATGGGATGAGGACATTCGTAGGCTGGCTGGGGTGGGCTGGATGAGAGTGGCAGAAAACCGAGAGCAGTGGCGTGCATTAGGTGAGACCTATGTCCAGCAGTGGACGAGCATGGGTTGATGATGATGATAGTCAAATAAAGAAGTGGTTAAAAGCAGAAATGGTCCATACACGTAGTCCAGGAAATAAAGCTAAAAAAATGGTAAAACCTCAAATATTTTCGTCCAGCACCGATTTGTACAAAATTTTGGGATAAGGCTTATTTCACTCTCTAGTTCATTTTCTATATTGTGCCATTGTACGTTTTTTTGTTTTTTAGGAGTGAAAACTACCCCTTATTTGACAATAAGGGGTAGTTTTCACCCCAAAAATATAAAATAACATTAAAAACCTGAATATGGGTAAAATAGTTAAATAATGATTGTTTCATGCTTAAGGTTACAATTTCCTAATCTTTCAACTTCCCTTGTTTAAAACTAGCTCCGAAGCGGGTAATTTGAATTTTTCGAAAAAAAAAATGATCCGTTTTTTAAGCATAGCTCCTTCATTTTAGGTGTTAGACAATTTTTTTCAGAAACGATTTTGTAGGGCTTTTCAGGAGCTATAAGACTATGTGAATTAAATTACTTATGACCCCTAATTTTTAAATGGGGCGAGTTTAAAGCGCTTGAATAAGGTGGTGTTCGATCGTAAATGTTGGTGTTAAACAGCTATATCTCGCCGAATATTCCTGTACAAAATATTTGCACACAGGGAATTTTTTGTCATTAAAAAAGCTACAATTTAGTACTGTATCGTTTTTTCGTATCTTTAGTATTTTGGGAGATATTTTTAAGATAAGGGTTAAAAACACGTAATTTAAAAAAATCGCTTTCTCTTTAAACTCCCAATTTTTCTAAAATTAGGCATTTTAAATTGGTCAAACTACGATCAATTTTAATTAGAGGGTACTTTGGGGGTGGTTTTCACAGATTTTTTTCGTAGAAAAAAGCGGGTGCCGATCTTATTTTGATCGTAAGTCAGTCAATTTTCATGCTAGAGACATTTTTTTTTGTTTAAAAGCTCTAATTAAATACTAAAAAAAATATTCTATTAACTTTCTTCGAATAAATCTTTTCTTTATATCTTCCAATTTATGCATTTCACGAAAAAAATAATTTGCTGTATCTTAGTTCGTATTTGTCGTAGAAAAAATATAAAAAAGCATTGTTTTTGTTTTTTAAAGCTACAATTTAGGGGTAGGGGCGGCTGATGTGAGCCCAAGTGTACGTTGTTGGGCAATTCACGTCTACCGTCAAGTGTCACTCTTACGTCCACGTCGTTCACCCCAGTAATACTTGGATCTGCTAACAGGCAACGTACACTAACACCTACCCTGGGATCCTCGTAGCTGAATTTAGTGATGCTATCCCACTGATGCACTCCAACATCACGAGAGACACTTCCCGCGACCCGTACTCCCTTCTCTCCAACTCCAATTAATAGTTAACCCCTCCCTCATCCTGAATCCTGTCACTCCTTAAGGCCGACCCTAACAAAGGCCTTCAGCTCTACCGGGAAAAAGGGAGGCGGCCCGGTAGACTATTCGCCTCTCCTGCGCTATGGCCTGCGCAGTTGAGCGCCGTAAGGGGGGATGAAGGAGTCCTGGAGGGTTGAGTGAAGCGAGGTCGGCGGTAGTACCTTCGCGACACAACACGCCCTCTTTGGTCCGGATTTCAACCGAAACGGTAGCTTCTTTGAAAGAGAGGAAACGGTCACGCGTCCCGTCAGAGGGCCGTAGCGAGGAGTGGAGGGGTCCGGGGCGGCTTGCCGCTCTGGATGGTTAGGGTCATGCTAACGAGGCAAGGGTGTGTAGAACAACTGGGGTACTCTGAACCGGTAACCCAGCCACACACTTCGAGTTTCCGATGTCGCACCTGACACTAACTCTCTGCTCCTATATCCAGTCGGTAATCCTAGTGCACCACTATGGGCAGTCCCAAATGTGCGAGCTCCAAGGAGGGTGGGAAGCTGTCTGGATGAATTTTAACACCACAAACAATGGACACTAACAGGTTCAACGTTCCGCCAACACCCGATGGGAAACCAGAGGGTACTGCTGCTCGCTCGCAGACCGAGAAATCGGAATGCCAGAAATCGTAAGGTCCTGCATATACATTTCCAAAAACATCAGAACACAGCCCTTAATGAATTTCTGTTCCAGAGATCTCTGCGCTATAAAACTGACCCTAAACCAAGATAATAACAGTTGTGACCTGATCATAGCCTCTGCATATATGCCTGACAGCGAGCGGGCCCCACCAGAAAACGTTGCGTCTCTGGTCCGCTTCTGTGCTCGGGTAAACGTAGAACTGATCATCGCGACAGACTCCAATGCCCATCACCCTGTGTGGGGAATGGAACAAAGCAACAAACGGAGGTAACCAATTATTTGAATTCCTCTTGACTACTAACCTAGAGTTAATCAACACAGGCAATGAACCTAGCTTCATAGGCAGACGGTGCAAGACCATCATAGACCTGACCCTTGCGACACCAAAAGCGGCAACAGCTATATCTGGCTGGCATGTCTCCGATGAGGCATCATGCTCAGATCACCGCTGGATCCGCTTCACACTACAGGTAGGAATTCTATCTCCTACACTACAAAGGTATCCACGGAAAACCGATAAACACCGCTACGCATAACTACTGGCGGACCTTCTAAGAAACAACTCCGGTAAGGGCAGAATTGAAACCACGGAGCAGCTAGAACAACAGGTAAAACACTTGACAGACAGCATAACGAGTTGCTACGAAGAGGCCTGCCCCCTTAGACTCCCGAACTCGAGAGTATCCGGAAAACACCACTGGTGGGGGCTGAAGCTCGTGAGATTGAGAGGAAAGGTGAGGAAGTGCCTTAACAGAGCAATGAATACATGCAACGACACAGACTGGGACAACTACAAAGCTACTAAAGCTAAGTACAAAAAACGTATCAGATACTGGAGAACAGCCTCCTGGAGGAACTTCACCGAGGAGATAAGCTCCACCAACCAGGCAAACCGGGTAAGGAAATTGCTGGCCAAGCAAGGCCCTGGCGTGCTGGGAAGCCTGCGTCGACCTGACGGCACATTGTCCCACAATCGTGCTGACTGCGACGCTATTCTCCTAGAAACCCACTTTCCGGACTGCCAACTTACAGAGCAGGTGACTTGGCAAGATGAACCTCCAAGTACAACAGAAGGATGCTGGAGACTATTAACTGCTTTGCGCCTTTCAAATCTGCTGGCTCTGACGGCATTTTTCCAGCACTACTACAATGGGGCGGACAGGACGTGGTCGATGCAGCTACTCGTATACTAAGATCATGTCTGGCTCATCGGTACACTCCACATCTGTGGAGGGAGGTCAAGGTAGTATTCATACCCAAACCGGGTAAAACCGACTATACTAACCCTAAATCCTTCAGGCCCATTAGCCTAACAACGATACCTACGCAGTGGAGCATTAATCAAAGCCCCACTACATAAACATCAACATGAGTCTGCTCTCAGAAGACACGGAGTGGAGCAACAAATCATTGACTGGACAGTTAACATGCTTAGCAATAGAATAGTTCGGGTAAAAGGTGAGGACAGCAGAGGAGCACTGGTGGCACGAGGATGTCCGCAAGGAGGGGTTCTTTCGCCACCTCTGTGGAACCTCGTAGTTGACGACCTGCTGACCAAGCTAAACTCGAACCACTACTACACCATAGGGTATGCAGATGACATTACTATACTTACCCTAGGCACCCACGCCAGCATTACCTGTAACACCATGCAAGGTGCTTTGAAACTGGTTGAATGCTGGTGCAGGAAATACGACCTCACAGTTAATCCAACAAAAACAGAGCTGGTAATGTTTACAACCAAACGTGACGTAGGTGCTTTCAACTTGCCGAAGCTGTTTGGTATCACACTACAACTGTCGAAGGAGGTAAAGTATCTAAGCCTTATACTTGACAGTAAGCTAAACTGGAGTAACCATGTGGAACACAAAATCAAGACAGCCAGCGTAACACTTTGGCAATGCCGTCAAATGTTAGGGAAGCGCTGGGGTCTTGCACCAAAACTGTTCCTATGGTTATATTACACAGTCATACGACCAATGGTAAGTTATGGCGCCATCATATGGTGGCTGAAATCTATCCAGACTACTTGTGTCAACAAACTACAAAGCTTCCAGCGGCAGATATGCAGCGCGGTGACCAGGTGCATGAGTACAGCTCCAACCGCAGCACTGGAAGTTATTTTAAACATCACACCGCTCCATATCTACATAAGACAGGAAGCGGCTAAAACAGCGTTGAGACTACAAGTGTTTGGACT